ATTTATTTCTTTTTTTTAAACAGTTGTACATACACTTAATTTATTGTAAGAATCTTCAGAATTTTTTTTAAAAAATTTTCTTTATTGAGCATTTTATTAAAATTTCAATTTTATTTATTTCATTTTTAGGCAATGGAACCTTGGATTTGTAGATTTTGGTAAGTATTGGAAGTTCCTTTGGTTTTATTTCTTTAACGAATTTTTTACTAATGTTTTGACTTTACTTTTTTTTTAAATGATCAAGCATCTTGTATTGTATAAATAGAAATAAAATTACTTATTGAAAATTTACATGTCCACAAACAAGCAAATATACTAATAAAAATAACCTACAGTGTATTGCAAAATATCATACAAGAAATCTAGACTAATTACTACTACTATTTATTATCCTACCCTCAACTTATAGTATTTAACAGTCTGAAGAAAATCGCAGAAGAATAAGTGTGACCTCCAAATGAGATGGAAAGGAAGTGACCAGGAGAGTTGCAAAAGGGAGATAAGATGTGAGAATGGCGAACATACAAAAAAGTACAGTAATAATTTTGTTTCCTTATCATTGAGAGGGTCGTACAGAAAGGAGAATCAGAAGTCACATGATTTGACTTGGAAATTTCCTTGCGAATAAATCACAATGATCCAAATCAAGAATGTAACAAAAATTGTGCAGTGAAGGCATTATAATAGTTTTGTTTTTATTATAATTTCAATGTAAAATGTATAATTGTAATATTTTAGTGTATTTTTAATATATAATAAATTGTATTACTTGCAATATATTATAATGATATTTTTGATATATAATAAAAATATAAATATCACATTTTTTTCATAAATTTTGACATATTTTTGATATATAGTAAACATATTTTAAACATATTTTAATCATGTGTTTTTTAACATATGTTCAACATATTGCCGTTATCGAGTTACAACAGAGTTAACAGAAATGTATACGCAATATGTCAATCATATTTTAAAAATATTTTTACCATATTTTTCAAAATCAATAGGTTTCTGCAAAGCACATTTCTATTTAATTCTTTTAAAAAAGAAATTGGTACAAATTTTAAAGAAAACAATATCGAAGTTTTTCAAAAACTTACGATTTCTAAAAGAAAAGAATGAAAAAAAAAGTGAAATTGAAAAGAATAAAATTGAAATTGAAGGGGAATGAGGTTCATCAGGAAATTTTTTATGTGTAGAAAATATGCAAAATTTCGTGAAACTGATTTGCTCACCCTGAAAATACACATTATTTGCATATTTAATATATATAATATGTATATTGATTATTGAGTAATTTTCCATGTGATATATTGTAAAAAATTTGTACAAAAAATTATATTTATAATATTGTTAATTATATTGCATAAATTTTAAGAAATTTAAGTATTTGTGCAATATTGAATACCCTAAAAATTTAGTGATGTTAATAATTTAGGAATTTATGACTAACTATATATGTAAATTTTTTTTTTATATAAAATATTCTATAATTTATAATAATGCGATCAATTATTGATATCATGCTTTGAAATAATGCTAAATATTAAAGTGAGAATGAATAATGCTTGATAAAAAGTTTCTAATATACAAAATATGATGAATAAACTAGGCGCCGCCTGCTATTCCATCTTTATCTTGGCCTTCATCAGGAGATGCAAATGTAGCCTTGACTTTGCCGTCTTTTTCTTCATCTTTTTGAGCATCTTTTCTTTAATGATTAAATTAATAAAATTAATAGATTTCTTTCGTTGATTTTAAAAGGTATTAATATTATATTTGTATTTACCTCTTAATTAATTGATCTAAATTCAAAGGAGAGGCTGTTACGATAGTAGCCATAAGCACAATCAAGAGAGCAAAGAAGATTTGACGCAAATTCATTTTATAGCTTTGGAACTTTTTGTGTTTGGATATTTTTAGTTTCTTATTTAAAAGAATTATTCTATAAAAAATTTTATTTGATTTTCTGAATTAGTTGAATTGGAACAAGTGGGAAAGTCATTTATATATTGGGTTTTTTTCAATATTATTAAATGGGGCCTGTTATACCTTTGATCAACAAAACGAAATTAATTTTTACAAACAATAAATTTATTATTCTTTGTAATTTATCTTTTAAATGATTAGAAAAAAACTTTCAAACATTTCTTTCTTTCATCTTTAATATAACGACGTAATTTCACAATTAATTTATTCGAATTCTTTAGAAAAATGATTGGTTAAAGCTTGTTTAATAGTATTTTTTTTCTTTAAAAAGGAAAATAAAATAAAAAATCGAATTTTTTTAAACAAAAAAATTATTTGTCTTGCAGATGTTAAACTAAAAAAGGAAAATAAAGGAAATAAAGAAAATAAAGAAATTTTAGTCCTTGTTAAAGGTTTAATTTTGTGTAACGATAATTATGTTTAGATCCCCCATATAATAAAAATATTGTGACCTGATCAATTAATACAATTTAATTAAAGTTTGTGTTTCAATTAAATTTAAACACAAACTATTACTTTCAAATATTACGAATTCAAATTGCATAAGATAATTTATTTCGGAAGATTTGGTCATAAACCATAATTCCAAGCGCGCGCAAAAAAAAAAAACAAAAATGTAAATATGATGCAAAAAAAAAGCCCAAATCATACAAAAAAGGTTTATAAAAATGGTTGAAAAATTTTTTCCGCTAACAAAATTTTATTTTTTAAACCTCTTAAACGTCTACTATTTCCTTGTTTTTAAAGAAAGAAAGAAAAACATAACAATAACGCAAGAAACAATCTTTATGTAATTTCTATAGTATCATCATCATCCTTTCTCAGATATTCTCAGATATTCAATAACATTTGTAGGTTCTTCATGCTTTATACTTTATTATTCAGAAAAAAAGTATTTTATAATATAGCGTATCAAATGTTCTTCCAATAAGATTAAATATTATTGAAACACCAGCGGACATTAAAGAATACTATTCCGTTGTAAATACATGACCTACAGAATAATTAATTCATTAATATTATTAACAAAATTCGTCGAAAAAAAATAAAGGATTGCTTACTCTAATTATAAATTGTGGTACATCTTCAATAAACTACTATATACAGTAAGTAACCGACTCCAAATATTTTTCGAAGCCATGTGATAACCAGCTATGACAGGATTGAAGATCAATGATAACCTTGATCATCTGTAAAATTATAGGTTCGTACAAAAAAGTTAGATGATATAAATGAAGTTAAGGATCACTGGATTTAATTCTTTTTACTTTATATATTTAAATTATTCAAAATTTTTTAATAAAATCCTAACATGTTCGACTTTGTATAAAAATATTATACATTTAATTGGTAATGTATTTTGATCCCTTTATTTTTATTGTGTAACATAATTTCAATAATTTTAAAACTATACAATAATAAAATTTAAATTACAATTTATGTTATGTGAACATTCAAAAATTCTTATCAATCAACTTAAGTAAATCCTTTATATTAAATTTAATTCAAATCAATTAATTTTCTATATTGAAAAAATCTTGCTGAGAATTCATTTTTTGTTTACTGAAAATAAAATAAAATGAAGTAGTATAGTAGGATCGGGCTTTTTGAATATTAAATTGATAACAGTTAAAATGAGTATAGTAGATAATATTAACATTTTTTTATGCTCAACAGCTTAATTTTCAAATTTATTTTTATTATGTTTATAAGTTTATTTACATTCTTTTTATTATATATGGTTATGTTTATAAAATAATGCTTTATATTTATAGTCAAATAATTATTTTTCTTATTTTCTTACACTGTTAGCTTAATTGGAACTAATTGAATCATTAATTTTATGGTATCCCAAACTAATATTTAAACGCTAATTCACGTTCCTTTTAGATAATTCCATTACACGAACTTTTTGCTTCTCGTTCCTTTATTAATATAAGTTCTCTTTCTCAATATTCAAGTTATATATATTTATTTATCACATATGTAAATAATCATAATCATCCTCTGGTCAAAAATCACAATTGGATTTTCTTTGAATGATTTGTTTTTGTGTTACACGGTGATTTTTGTTATATGATATAATATAAGTATTAGTTATTTACTAATCTAGTAGTATATAAATGGGTTATCATCCGAAGGATGATGACCCATTTATATACTAAACTAGATCAGTAAATAACTTTTTTATCATCCTAGATATACTAATTGGTCCGCCAGTTTATAACTGGCGGAAAAAATCCTAAATACCAATTAGTAGCCAGGTGATAAATCAAATTACAAATGAAAATGAAAATACTTGTCATCCACAATAATAATTTATGTCCGTCTAATAAGAATTTAGATAATTGATTTTATACATATTGCCGTTGATTACCTATAATTAACATGTTAATTTTAAGGTTAATAAAGTATTACATAAGACGCAGTAGGACTCGGAACGAACATTAATAATTTTATTTGTTTTTATTATAAAGTAATTTGATGAGTACTTTGTTTAAGCCAAAATACAATAAATATGTTTCTTAGTAATATTGATAATATCTGTTATGGAATCTCACTTTATACAATAATTTCTAGATTTTTTTTTTGTGTAAAATAGGAATTAATTAAAAAATATAAAAATTTTATAACATTTTTATGAATATTCTTTTAACATATTTATAATAATACAAAATTAAAATTATTATGCAGATGGGAAATGGGGTTTTTGCACTTTTGTTAACAAAATGAATTTTTTTTACATCTATTTTACAATAAGCTTCGCAAATGTTCATTATTTAGTCAAATGATAGTAAATTTATACTAAGCTTTCTAAATTCCATATTAAGCTATGATAAATATTAGTTAATTTTATTTATAGAAAGTTTGTATCCAAATATGAGAATTTTTGAGTTTTTTTTTTTTCGATAAAATCGTCTGGTTTGTCTCAGTTCCAAGATGCCTAAGGCTTAAAGTTGGCTCTAAACGATCTGAGCTAACGAGTCCAATAATACATATTGCTTGATATTAAATTAAATCATATTTACCTTTTATATTTATTTACATGTTAAATTAGAATAGATAAATTAGCGATAGTATGCTTTTGGATGATAAATTTCTGACGATCATCTTCCAAATTTATTCACTTTTTCGCTTAATTTGTAGTTTGTCATACGATCTACATGCATTTTTTCATAATTTCGGAAATGCTCAATGTGAACTTTTTTGATTCAATTTTATATAGCTATATATATTGCTAATTGCAAT